AAACCAATCCGAGTATCGAGTAATTTCATTCATAATTCTTCCTTCGGCGGGCGTCCCGACGGGCCTCACAAATCATTCCGACACAGCTGTACATACGAGTCTCCCCCAGGTCCGCGCCAGTTCACCTGTCATGCTGGAAACGCGAAAATCCAGCACGACAAACGTTACACAACAATAGAATAGCGACGTGGACGGAAAGCAAGCGGCTTGACTCCTATGGGACATGGGGACACGTCGAAAGGGCCACAGGTCTGAAAAGCTTTTCAGAGGACGTTACCGTCGAGAGATTTGCTATGTGACTACGATTGGACCGATTTAACACCAGCTACTTTCTTTCGTCACTCATTTCGGAAGCTTCCTGTCAGCTGTCCAAGAGCTGCCCATTTCTCCAAACTCCCCCCGAACCAACTGCTCCAATTTCACCACACATGCCCAGCAACGTTTAAGGTTTAGAACCCACCTCAGAATAGCCAGCAAATGCAGATCCTCCATTGTCCAGCACATTTGTAACTTTTTTGTTCTCAAAGCGCTCACGGTCTGCAGAAGTTCAACTGACCATTGCGCACATTTAGTACGTGCACGCGCCTTTCTTAAATCGCGCTTTTGGTTTGTTTTGAAGATCTCGGGATGCTTTCATTGATATCAATTTCTTGTTCAGATTCTTCTCTGCACGAAATGTGGTGCCCAAAAATTTTGCATTAAATACCCATAAAAATTTGAGACTCAAATTAATTGGACTGGTTTTTGTCTATTTGGACATGGAAATGGCATTTTTTGCGGCAATTTTAAGGCGGGATTTGCAGGAAAGTTGTTGTTGATTTTGAATTCCGCCTCTAAACGACCTGTCGTGAGTTTCCGGACTTCACTTTTCTCCCCAGAAAATGCATGTACTTTTAATCGAATCCAATGCAACGCACATTTCAACATGTAGTCGACAATATTGGCAAGGAAATTCTCTAAATTCTAGCAAATTTTATGAGTCAAGCTTTCAGGAATAATCAGGCACATCTCGCGAATATTTAGGTGGCTTTTGAATATTTTTCCAGATTTTAATCATGAGTTGTTAAATTATTGACGAGGAGTCAAAGCAATTTACCTTGAGGTGCGTTTATCATCCTGCCTAAGGGTAAATTTTCTCACCATGAGACGGCGGCTATTTATAATTCATTAATTTAAAACAAGACCAAACTACCAAACAGGGCACAGAGGATCCACTCCACTAAATAATTTAAAAATCTTCTTTCCTAACAATGAGTTCATGATCATAAACTATTGCTGGTTGTGGATGTGGAGTGATTTACTACTGCTCATTTTCCATGTCATTGGCTGAAGGTGCGAGTCGTTCACATTGTCGAAACGTCTTCAAGGAACTTAAATCGACAATCAAAAACGAGTAGCATTGTCAAATAATGACCTCTAGAGCTTAACTCAACCCCATCATTATAATTCTGCAGGAATTTCGCATCCAGTTTGGCTCTATTAGTGGAAACACAAATATATCACGCGCAGCAGCACATATTCAAGTTGGAACTAGTTCTAAACTAGATTTGGATTTGATTTTATGCAGTGTGCTGTTTGCACTGTGGTGATTTACGTGTGATGAAAAATATGGAAATAATCAAGCCTTCATTTGCCTCTCTGTTTGTCACATAATAATGTCCTGCTAAATTATTGATGAAGTGCCAATGCAATATTCCGCTAAGCTTTGTTTATAATCCTTTGTAAGAGTAAACTTTCGCGAATATTGGAAGGGGGTAATGTATTATTTAGAAACTTTGAAAAGCTGCAAACATCGAACAAGAGACAGAAGTTGTTCCAAACAATATAATTTCTAAATGTACTTTACCGAACTCTGCTTTATTATTAGTGGTAAAACATACATCCCTTAATGGCCAGAATTCCTTTTAAATTAGATTTATGCAAACTTAACTCCTACCGTTAAAATAAGCATCACATCATAATAAACTTCAAAATGCTTTTAGCTGTACCTACTTTTTGCGATCTCATTCGATGTTATTGTTCTAGTTTAAACCACTTAAAATCAACAAAAACCATGGGTTTAACGGGTCTATTCTGTAACTATACAGGCAAAATTTACAGGCCTCTAAAAACTTAACGACCGATCATTTTCTTTTGGTATTCTTTACCTTCATTCTGTTTAATGGTTTATTTTATGTTAAGTTTTGCCAAAACATTAATTTAATTGCCACTTTATTTAAGATCAAAGCAAATTAATGTTTGTAGCAATTAAAAGCTGAAAATCGTACATTTTTTGAAAAATCATAAACGCGAAAAATCTGCCCTTAATTTAATCTAAACAGTGCTTCGAGATCTGTACCATGCATATATTTTCCTTCGGTTGAAACTGTGTTCTGGTAGCAAAGTGTTTGCAGCTTATAAAATAAAAAACAACTTCAACTTCCTTGCTGGGCTGTTGTCTGTGGCATTGTCTATTGAATTCTTCTTTCTTGAATGTTCTTCTGTGCCATTTGCTTTGTCAGATTTTCTCTGACAATGAAGCATATTTTGATTTGATTTGAAATTGTATTTATTGCATTGACTGCATATGCCCACAACAATTTCTTCACAAATATTTCTTAGCTTTCTTCTGTCTTCGATCTTTGCCCCGATTCCAGGAAAACCAGGCCGCAAATTCGTTGCCCCTGATTGGCCATCCAAATGCCCCGATTTAACACCCATTGAATGGCCCTACCAAATTGTTAGATAACAAGGAAAAAGGGTCAGCCTTATAATGAGTTTTTTGCTTTAAATATACGCCCCTCAGTCACGCAAATACTGATAATCCCCATAAATTCATTCATGTATTTGGAAACTTGCCTCATCTAGCAGCGTTTAATGCATAGTACGAGGCTGGAATACAACGCAGCCGTTATTTTAATATAAACAAGTAAATATTAAATTTAAAATGAGTTGTGTTGCAGTGTTTACGTTAATTAAACTGCTTAATCGTTGAAAAAAATGATCTAAAAGTAATCTTTCAACTAGTCCTCATATTAATTGATAATTTTTTTAAACAGTACATAGGCCAAATGCCTTTAATGGTATGGTCTGGGAATAGACCCGCAAGTCTAATAATAATCAAGAAACCATTATTATGGCCTAATGTTGTTTGCGGAAAGGTTTCATTGAAAACTATCAAAGTAATTTTCTAGTAATGCTCGGCTCATTATATCGACTTTCTATCTGTTTAAGTTTGCTGTTTTTATGCACTAGTTTGAGTTAGTCATTGGCTGACCTTTAATGGACAATGTGAGTGGAAAATATGAAGGTTTTCGATTAAATACTACTGGCTGTACAAAGGGCAACATTAAATGTGAAAGCGTGATTGGGAACTTTATTAAGCACCGAATTTGCATTTGTACAAGGGAATGTTAATTATGCGTGTTTTCTCTGAAAGTTAACTTGTACATTTATTTGCATAACATTTTTGATTGTTCACATGTAAAACCTGATTACGGGGAAAAACCGCAAATTTGTCATAAAATAAAATCAACGAATATTGTTCGGGTAAAATTTCGATGCTATTCTAAAAAAGCTGCACGTATTTTGCGTTCGAGTTTTAACGTATGAAATTGAATTTACCTATACATGCACATGCTGCATTGAAATACATTTCGATTACAATTAATGTTTAATAATCTTGTTTCATTTTTTTTTTTTCATTGGACATTTTCAATTGAGTTATGCCTTTAGTAGACACAATGAGTCAGCAAACATACGTACACATAATCTGTATAATTCCTATGAAGAATAGACACTATCCAGCCTCATAAAACTGCAATTACTTATAGAATATGGATGGTTCGAATTTGCTTCGCATAGAAAACAGACAGACACAAATATAATATTGCAAATTAATGTTGAAGTTCTAAAATTAATGAAATCTACTGAACTAATGACCGAGTCAGTCAGTGGATTGCTAATTGTTTCAGCTGAAATCGACTAATATTGCATGTTTATTGCGAATGGAGGTCGTCAATATATGCAGAACTACTGTTAATCGCCTTTTGAAGTGGATGCCATTTGACATATCGGCATCATCAATTTTTCCTTGCCTGCACTATAGAACAAAGGCCAAACTAAGTTCGAGAGCTTCGTAGAAAGCTGAACTATTAATCCATATAACAATAGTTCCGAATTATCATTTTTATAAGCTTTCTATTCCAGAATACGCTACCTTTTCAATTCCGGCTACCATACGGCAGCATAGCTCATTATTCGAATTTTCACAGACCATTATTTCTCCCTACGGGGCCCAAACTTGCGGACTATGTCTGCATATATCAATATTTAAAAGAGTGGTATGCAGTCAAGTTTTCTAGGTCGAAAGCACTTCGAGTTTCAATTTGATTTGAATTCATTAAGTCTCAATTGGAAATATTCTTTGATGAGAAATAGGGAGTTTCGGACACTCAAGTATCAATGATGCCATTGCCAGTTTCGTAGTTTATATAGACATTCTAACATCAATTACATAAAAATTGCATTAGGAACAATGCCAAACTTAATTTACCGCTAAAATGTTTTGTTAGTATTAAAAATTCGTACTTACCTTGCGTTACTCCAATTGCATAATACTGGTATCGTGAAAAACACTGTTGATTGGCCCAGACTATTATGTTGGCAGGTGTAGATGTGCCTTTGGGATGTAAAAGTTGAGCAACAGCGAACGTTTATGTTTGAATGGGGCAAAGCAAACATAAAACAACCCTTACGAGCGATATTACCTTAGAAAAAGATGACGGTCATTATAAAGGGTATAATAAACTACAGCCCGAATTTGTTTTATACATTGGCTGGCAATTTTAGAATTGTAGCCCATTTTTTTCGCAAAATCGATTTCAATTATAGACTTTGAAATGTATGCATTATTTCTGCGCAAGGTTTTCATTTCAGCACTTTTACAAATTGGCCATAAAAAGCAATGGAAACCATATTTCGGGAATAAATATATCGGTGTGGAAATAAACCATTTTCACTGCATTTACGAATATATCTATTTTTGGCATTGATTTAAATATACATTTAGGGCTAAAAGTTTGTTCAACGAGGATCTATAGTACAAATATGATAAAATGCTACATAATGATGTCTTTGTAGAATATCGTCGAAATTAACGTTCGATACCGACTTTAACTGGAGTCACAACTTTCCCATTGATATGTTGGATGTGATAACATTCTGCTAGTATGGAAAATAGTGTTTTGACGGATTTCTCAGTCATAAATGCGTGGTACAAACGTATTTATGACACTCCAAAGTGAGCAAAGCACTCCCGGGATCGGTTTCGGACCTATTAGTCTTAACCAACTGGGCGTAGCTTCCAAAGCGCATATCCGAAAGCATTTAATTTAGAGGAAAATGAATGAAAAAGTCTGAAAAAATAATCTGTGCTTGCACCACGCATTCTGCTAGTAGTTGAGAAGAACTTTGATTGCAACTTTCAGTCCTAAGAAATCTACTTAATAATCCTACATGATTCCAAACTTAATACAATATAAATTCAATGATTACTAATGGGTTTAATATTAGATCAGCAGTTTCTTCATTTTATCGCTGCATGCATAGAATGAGCAAAATCGCTAAAAATATTTCTTCTGGGCAGTATTACATGTGTGAACGGTCTTATTTTCTAGCTATTTACATTAAATGCTTTTTACACAACATGAAGGATTTCACCTGGACCAAAGCAAAACTTGGAAGTTGCGAACTTAATGTTCCAGCAAGTTCGAAAAATTCTTCTAATCACATCAAATTTGCTCACCCTGCGCAAGTGCGATTTTCTTTTCAAGCCTAGCGTTTACAGTATACACTTTGTACTTTTAATTTACATTTTTATTTTAGCTAAACATGCACATATTTGTAGTCAGATTTTCTAAAAATTACGCGACTTTGATTACAACAATTGTTTAACGTCCTGACTAGAAACAGGCGCATGACAGTTTCATTGCACAATTTGCGATAGACTTTTTACAGTATTTACAATGATTTTACCTAATTTCAGTCTCAGCTTCGTCGATATGTTACACAAACAAAATCGTGTATTCTGGTATAAAAATAGGTTTTTTAAATAGCCCAACATGAATTACACAAGACATAGACTGTCGCAAATTTTCTGGCAGTGACGAAATAACTGTCGATCTTTTTCTATTGCTTGTCCTTCGGGCGAAACGGAAGTTTAATGATTAATTAACCTTAAACAGTAATTAAAACTTCTTTAAAACCGTGCGGTAACACTAATATCTGGTTCAACGAAAGTATATTTTTTTAACTGCCGGCAAGAAACGCTCAAACTTGCGAAGAAAATTGGCTCTAACCGCGGACATCAGTAAATTTCAAAATAACGTCTCTATTAATGCCAAATAGCTTGGGACAGACATCTCCGGTTACGCCAGACAATCCGCTTATTTGCAAGAGCAAGATATTTGCCCCAGAAGGAAAAATTTTAAACCAAATGTTTCTCGGAAATAAAGCCATCGCAAAAAATGCCATTAAACGTCGACTAAAATCAGAGACTTTTGAAGCTGTTTAATGATGAGAAAGTCGAAGAGTCAAGAGCATATTCGATGTTCGAGAACTACTTGTTAAGTGTTAAAATTCAAATATTCTCGAAAAGCAAACCTTCGAAGCGTTAAACGGAGTGTTACTTTATCCCCTATGTCATTGGCAATTTTATGGGCGTTCTGAACTGGCGGTATTTGAAATAAGCCATAAAAAGGAGTATGCACGTAAAATTAGTAAGCGTTCCAAGAACAACCGTATGTATTGATCATGATTTATTGAGGGGATATTTTCGATTAATTACAGAGGCGGCAATTTAGTGGACCTGAAAAAGTCTAGCCACCATCACATTAACACCTTCATTAATATAAATATATTCCCCCATTTTGATCCTGTATGCCCCTTCTTGCTCATTTATTCAAGGTAATAACCAACCCACGACAGCCATTTAAAATGCTGATTAAATTTCTCGTTATCTGGGAAATGCCGGAGTTGAAATGTTAGATCTTCCAAGGTATTTACATTAAGATAAACTGAAGTATCTGCTAATTTCAAACTTAAAACAGGATTTGCATTTACAGATTGCAGGTGCTCTGGCTTATGCCTTGTTCATTTCAAATTAAAAAGCAGCGCTCGATATTTTCTCGTTAAAGCATTAGGTAAAACTGACAATTGATTGATTTAACCTGGTCAATTTGGATTTGTAACTCTTATTGGGGATTTTTGGAAATTTTACGCCAGAATACATATTGCAACCACTTTAAAAAAACCCTTCATGCATTAATATACAATTTACATCGATATTGTCTAAGTCCTAACAATAAACGGCCCTTTTACACCAATACACAGATAATAGATAATACACAATTTACTAAACCACACAAAAGTTATCTCCTAACTATCTACACTCACACTTAAGAAAATATTCCCATTTTCGTCCTGAAATATAAATATACATCTACACGTTCTGAGCATTTTTACAATTATGTCGATGAGGCAACTTTTTTACTCACTGATTCCAACGACCGAGTTATAATACCAGAAACTGTTACATCGAGCTTGAAGTTTCATGACGAGATCGTTGAGTTTAAAGTACGTCCTTTGACGACAATTAGTTTACATTTTAAATCAGTTTTGTAAAAGGGCCTACAAACTATTCAGGGCTTTGAGAATTCAAAGACATCTTCAGAGCGATATTTTCATTAACGAATACAGTTATTACTGAAAAGTTATGAATTAATATCTAAACCTACAAATAGCAAACGAAGGCTTGGTTTATTACTAGAAATCATATAGCAAAATTCGTTTAAGCTACTTTTGACAAAAGATAAAAAAATATTCTTTAATGAAATTGACTCTTCAAGATCCAGGAATTTTCAGACTTAAATTCACCTTAAAACTAGTTTATAGAGATAGGAACATACGAATAAGTAAAGGTTTACGTACAAGAGCAAGCTGGAGACAGTGGCGAATACGTTTGAGCCAGCTGACCCTCCTACAGGAGGCTCCTTTATGGGAGGAGGCCCATTCGATGGCAGTGTATATTCGCTCTCGTATTCGTACTCTGGAAAAAGAAAACCGCATAAACTCATCCTATTATTTCAACAGAGTCAACTAGAAGGATTTAACTAATATTCGAGTCTCCATATTTTATACAGCTTTTAAATATTCCACTTGAAGTGGCTTCTATCAAATTGATTCCATATGGCAAAGAAAACGGTATAAAATCAATCTCCAAAAGAAACGTTTTATTTGGAAGAAAAGGGAACATTTAAATAGCCAAATACGCTTCTGAGAACTATACTCAAATCAATTGGCTTCAATTTAGCGTTTCTCACGCGTCTATCCGAGATCTAAACTCAAACTGGAAGCCGGATATTTCTGAAATGCGGCATGTTTACTGCCTTCAGCAAATGTTATTTATTTTCCTGCAATATGAGATGTTCTTTGTTCTTTGACAGAGCACATCTTTGGCAAAATAAAGCTAGCATTTTTACATTATAATTTTCCTCAAAAAGCACAAATTAATGATCCGGTAATTAGCTGATGCTTTGATTAATACTGATTAGATCCATTTTCCTCCGACAACGCATCTAATATTGAAATTTCAGGTATAATTAGCTTTTCCAAAAAGAGCACGACACTACTGAAATTTCTTTTCAGCTACATCATTTATTCAATCTGTGGTAGGCGGAGATGTAAGAATCCATTCGGTTAGCTGTTTAAATTGTCATAAGTTATTTCAGCGATTCTGCTTCACGTTGAATCAATTAACCTTAAATTCTCCACTCGAATTCACTTCTGTCGGTATTAATTTATATTCAAATAGCTTTATATGGATATTTTATTAAGTGCTGCTAGGTATTAGAATTTTTACATTATTCGCACATTTCACTTTGACTCCAATATATGTTATCCAAATATGAAATTTTCAATTAAGTTGTCTATTCCGTGCATTATTGACTGAAATAAAATTACAGTTTCCCTCATTTAAAGATCCATTTCCAATATTACGGTTTCTCAATTCTGTACGATTCAATTGGCTGATTTTTATGTTTTCCCTCTCAGATATCAGAGGCACCTAGATAAGATCATTTCAGTATATTTATTGCATTTATGAGTATTTTCGTTTTTCTATCGGCTCGAAATATCAACAGCACTTCTCTGCGTAAAAGCAACGTAATATTTTAGCCTGAAAGGTCGCTGAAGTAGAAATATTTTAAGGGAAGGTGGCGTTGAAGTCTGGAATACGCTGCGAGTTAAATAATGCAGGAAATAATACGTTTTCGCCTTATTTACCCGACAATTTGAATCACAATAGATTTTTGTCATTTTGCCTTTTACGGTTTGTGTATTTGGAGAATAACAAAGTTCAGCTTGATAATATTAAGGCTATTTATTCTGCGCGGTATACATTTCGTTGCATTCGTATATTTTAACTTTCTTTCTAAAACTGCTATCCAGACGGAAAACGGGTTGTTAGTGAATGTTTCTACAAAATCTCATAGTCGATTTGTCACCCATATCACGCGCATAAAAAGTAACTTTAATAAACCAATAACTTAGTTTCAGATTTAAAACTAATAAAAAAACTTTATGTAAGGGGAACAGCTAACAAAAGAAAAACTCTCTGACCTGCTATCGTGGATTCGTCGAACTTGTTCTCCGAGTTGGAATCTTCTCCTCGCACTGACGTACCTGCAGACATAATTTCTTTTCAATTGTCGAAGAAAACGAAATTTTGCTGCAAAAATGTTACTCAAACTTTTAAATCTCCTTCTGCCGCATTCCGTGTGAATAAAATTGTTTCTCTAACATTATTCGGTTGCTACTTTAAATATTGGACTGGCCTTTTTCAAATTTTCAGACCCTACCCTATTGCTTTTCAATCTGTTTCATATTTGATAACTTCAACAGCAAGTTTGCGTTGACTTTGTAAACCAGAACTTGGGAAAACTTGAAGAATCTATTTGGCATGAAATTAAATGTAACTTTTCATAATGTTCACCTCGGAACTAATTTAGTAAACAATCACTTTTCCGTTCACGAAAAGTTTACCGAGATGACCATCTTCAGCACAGTTTAATATACAGTGGTTTAAACTGAAGTTTACAAGTGCACATGAGGTGCTTGCACATTTGCTGAAATTGCAATCAGGCGATCTAATAGTTTGAGCGTTTGCCAATCGAACTCATGTAAAGGAAATATTTCAGACAGACAACGGAGGAGAATTTTCTTAGAACCCGCAGCAAGTTTTTGCTTGTGATGCTTCTAATATTCTGCAGATCAGAGAGGATGTGCAGGTTTAGGGAAAGCTGTCAATTATTAGGTCCAAAACCCACGACCATATTAATTAATTGATTTGGTGTTCTCAAAAAACAAACTGAATTAATCAGTCAGTTTCCCCTAAATATTAAGCCCAGTTGCATTTTTATCTAGCCAGGTAAAAATGTACTTAAATTGTACATAAACTAGGGCAACGGTTAATATTATTTGATGACGCCAACTGAAATAACTAACTATTTTGTACTGTGTTTTTAACAGAAATGCCGATGTTTTACACCAGATAACTGATTCCACTTTACCTTTTTTGATTTGAGATGTACTATGATGCGTGATGATCTTGATAGTAGTTGGTGCCGGAATTTCTGGAAAAAAAGTTTATTTAGCTTGATTGAGTTTATTTGATGAAGTATAACAAGATCCGAGTGTTGGCCCTCGAGAATCGCAAAGGAAAAATAAGCGGAAATAAAAACAAAAGGGAAAACTAGCTCCATATATTTTTAATTAAGACAGGGTCTCACCTTCTAATTTGATAACACCGTCCGTTTCCCCAAGGGAGTTTTTTGCTACACACTTGTAAGAACCGAAGTCATTCTTGCTCACTTTTCGTATTTTGAGCATCATGTATTTTTTGTAGCCGTTGTCGGTGGAAACTGCCTCATATTTATCACCTGGAACAAATAGAACTGGTTCATTCGTTGCTATCACTTTCACTTAAACAGTATATTGAGTAGTTAAATGAGATCCACTTAGTTTAGGGTGATATCAAACGAATATATAAATAATCTTATGCCTTGTAAGACAAAAGGAATTTTGCATGCGCTTTCCGTTATCCTTGTAATGTTTGCTCGATCATATAACTGTATAACTGATAATTTAATGCATTTTTTTAAGATGTCTTGCTTTCGTTACTTATTTTAGTAGGTGTAGATTTTGTAACACACCGTTGTGCCAAACAATGTCAAAAGTCCTATTGATGTCTATAAAAAGATACACTGTAGTATTTATCAAAATAATTAATCCAATAAAAGCAAAGTTTAACTTCTCAGTGCAAGCGGCGAGTCTGCAAGGACAATTAAAATATCCAAAACCGTTTGCAGTATTGCAAAATGCATTGCTTGCTAAAACTGAAATATTCATCTTGAATGACGGTGTCACCTAAGTTCCAATTAAGTTTTAAAAGCTCTGCACAACTTATAAGTGTTCGTTGCAAACTAGATCTGACTGTGAAACTAACATTACAGCAAAATTTGGTTTGACAGTTAAAGAGCTTTTCCAGTTAAATGATAGGATTTTGTTAGTTTTTTAAACGCCTGGGGAGATTTTCCAGAAGAAAATATATGCTGACTTGTAAAAAAATAATTGCCAAGTAAATTACACTCGCTTAAACCTACAAAACAATACGCTCTATCAAACGATTTTTACAAGCGTGTTTAAGGAAATTGGTAAATCATCAATTTATCCGGCTTTTAATAAGCAACGATATGTTTTGTTTACTCTATAATGCTGCCTACGTCGAAGGAAACATTAAATATACCCCCATTAATTATGTATGTTTACGTACATCCAAAATAAACAAAAATAAGGTAATTAAACCTGAGCCTAGGTTCGATATGGGGAGAATGGAGATGAAAATGTCCGCTACATTATTACTTTTGAGATGCTCTTTTTGTCATCATTTATTATTAACGGAAGACCGACCCTTTGCCAAATTTTTCTCGTAGCTTCGCTTGGCTTCGATTTTTGCTGATAAAAAAATCATTTGCGACAGATCGGAAGGACAGGGCTAATACAAAAGATACACACATCAGGGTCCAAGGGAATGACAAAGTAGCGTAATTGGACAAAAAGAAATGGGCTCAAATATCTCTTTTTTTTGAGTTACTGTACCCATTGGTTGCAAATAACGCACTGGCTTTTCAATGTGGATGATTAAATAACTGCAGCACGTCCAGAAAAATTAATCATAATTTTTGACTCATTATTAACTTGACTCTCTAAATACCAATGCGGGAAAAACCCTCTAGATAGTTCCATGGGTATTAAGTGTAGTTATAAGCTGGCTCATGTATAAATAAATTTTCTGTATCCACTTCAGTGTAATTTAAGCGAATTACAGACCCTACTAGTAAAGGTAATTAAAAACTCCCCGCTCAGAACGTATTATTAATGGATGTTGCAGTTTTTACCGAGTCCCCGAAAATTTCTAAACTGCTTTTAAGTGTAAAAAGTTTTTAAGCAGCTTAACGAGCTACTTAAATATATTAAAAACTTCACGACTGTCTAAACAAAAATAATTAACTTTTCCTTCGAAAGTTCAGTCGGTTTATTTAATTTTATCTTGGATAATACTGCAAAAAATGTAAAACTGATACGAAAAAATTAGCGAACAATTAAAGTCTAAGTTCGCCTAATAATATAATCAGTTGGCGGTTTTAGCAAATGTTAAAAAGTTTAGTTTGCAGCTAATTTTCATATTTCAGTGTGACTCGACGTGATCTGGGAAGTGAAGCAAAGATTAAAAGGTAAAAAGTCCAATAAATTTACCTGATAGTGAAGAACTCTGTTTGTGACAGATTTCGTGCTTTTATTACGAAGAGCCATCTTTCGGGTGTTGAGAGCCTAGAGCTATTCACTTCTTGAATAGTAACTAACATTAATTCAAAAAGCTATTATAAAGTAATTTGGCTAAGTCTGAGGGCCAACAGTTCAAATTAAACATTGTTTTTAAACAGTTTAATTGATCATCTGCTATTCGTATCATTTTATGTGGCATTGTACTGAAATAAAATATCAGTTAAAAACCTCAACATCAAAATGCTTTTAAACAAATAAAATGCTTCAGCGTTATTAAAAGGGTAGCGTTTGTTTCCTCTCGTCGTTTCACCCTTAAAACTTGAAATTGTCAAACACTTCCTTGACATTGGTTGATATTAAAATCATCAACGTCCAGGATTTTCCCTTACAAAACGTGTCATGTATATTAAGCAATTTTATGACACGGAGACCGAAAGAAAAAACAAATCATACAAAGGGCCCTTTTTCACTTGTTTTGTCACTCAATCTTCTTGAGTGATTGAATACAGTGCAAGTTTTATCAAACCTTCCTTTCATACTTATATACTTCCATGATTTTTCCAAATTTAATCCAAACTCGATGCGAAAATCCCATCCGCTCATTTTAATACTATCAGTAATTTATTCGGGTAACGTTCTAGTTTAATGTTGGATTATTTTGGAAAAACGGGTCAAGTTACCAGTTGGAAGATTTAGCTTGCTATAGATAAAGGAAACATAAAGAATTTTATTGGCGAATCCAAAGTTAAATTCTTGCACGTCTCCGTTAGGAATCTTGGGGATTTGAGGGGTTTTGGAGTGTGAAGCTGCAACTCGAGACAATAACTATTTTTGTTCCATCTTATTAATTCTCTTTGGTGCGCTATGAAATTATTATATTGATTTACTAATCATATTGTAAATTTATCAAGAGTATTTACAGTGAGACTTTGCCATTAAAGTTAAATTCGAGCCTCCAAACCAGGCAATTCGATAAAAAATATTAATAAAATTTTGACAAGAAAATTACATTCAGGAACTTGGCCGCTAGTCGTTGTCTTTAATGATTTTTTATTCGCAGAGACGTTTATTTTCTTCCGATGCATTGGAAAGAGTTTCATACAAATAAATACGACTTTGCGCCGAGTTTTATTACAGAACGCAAACGAGAAACTCGCATTTGAATCGAAACTTTCCTAATTTTATAAAACTTTCGTATATAATTCTGCATTCTACGTTTTTCGGGAAATCACCTATAACGATTTCTAGGAGTCTTCCGAATGCGCCACATGTGTCCACCGAATTAGATATTCCATATTTTAATTCGGTGCTTTAAACTCGCGATTTAACTTTCAGAAAATGCATCAGGTTTTAAACTTTTTGCAAAATCAGTTTTGTGAAAAGTTTGTCCCTGGATGCAGATCAAATTCTGAGGACTTCTGCTGTCTTAGCATGGGGAGGATTTCTGAAGGTTCAAAAAATTTGCCTTTGCTTAATTTTGGTCCCAAATCAAAATCAATTCCTGGGCTTCAGTCATTTATTGTCTATTTATCAATTAAAATACGTTTCGGTGTTTTCCACCATCATCAGTTTCTCTAA